AAAAATAGTAGATGGTATACTTCAATCTGCATTCAAACTCCATAGTTCTTTCTTTGGATGTGGATGGCATTTTCTATCATGAGGCCTTTGGAGATGTCCTAGATCCTTGTATTGGTGGGAAGGGTTAAGTTTATCAATATTAGTCATCACACCACGTGGCTGTTACTGTCTACAACATTCTCTTGGTTCTGCTCACTTCACTCAGCATCAGACCATCCAAGTCTTTCCAGGTTTTTCTGAAGTCAGCCTGTTCATCATTTCTTATAGCACAATAGTATTCCATTACATTCATATACCACAACTTGCTCGGTCATTCCCCAATGAATGGGCATCCTCTCCATTTCCAGTCCTTTGCCACCACAAAAAGAGCTGCTATGAATATTTTTGTACGTGTGGGTCCTTTTCTGTGTTTACCATATTGTTTTGGCCTTTGTGAAACTGGGGATGTTTAGTCTAGAGAGAAGTCTTCTGGGGGATACACTAGCTGCCTCCAGGTATCTGGAGAGCTGTCATTTGGGAGAGGGAGAAGACCAATTGGGAGGCCCCAGAAGACAGAACAAGGAACCCCAGGGACAGGTTGCCAGGGGCAGATTTAGGCTTGCTGCGGGTGTGGGGGTGGGAAGAAGAGGCAGGGGCATCTCTCAGCAATCAGGGCTGTCCATAAATGGAAGGGGCTGCCTTAGAAGAGATTGCTGTATCCCCCAGAAGACTCCTCTCTAGACTAAACATCCCCAGTTCTGTCAGCTGCTCCTTATATGGCATGGTTCTGAGGCCCTCCACTCGTCTGGTCACCGTGCTCTGGATGGGGTCCAGCTTGTGGATGTCCTTCCTAAAATTAGAAAATGTTTATTAAATTGAGTGGAACTGTGCCCCAAACTATCGACCCCTGGCCCAAGGATTGCCTTTCCTCCTCCTGGACCTGAAATCCTACAGGAAACTTTCCCAAGTGGGAAATGATCATTTCTTCCTCTACCCTTGAACTGGGCTTTGTACCTCTCTCAAAAGAGGCAGAATTGCATGGTAGTGTTGGATTTGGAGCAAGGGATGCTTGAATTCATTATCTCACCGCAGGGGTGTGCTAGAGCCTGCTCGAAGGGGTGAGAGGGAAGGAGAGAGAGAAAGAGAGAGAGCCAGAGAGAGGGAGGGAGGGAGAGAGAAAGCGAGACAAG